AAAAAAAAAAAGAAAGAAAAGAAAAGCTAATGCCATCATCTCTGTGCATCTTGTGTCAATACTGTAAAATCTCAGCTTTGTATTTTATTCCCCCTACTGCCTCTGGAGCTCTGGTGGTGTAGTGCCTAAGGCATTTGACTGCTAACCAGAAGATTGGCAGTTCAAACTCACTAGCCACTCCACAGAAGGAAGACTGGGCAGTATACTTCTGTAAAGATGTACCGCATTGGCAACCCAATGGGGGTCACTATAAGTTGGAATCAACTCAATGGCAGTGAATTTGGTTTTTTTTTGGTGGGTTTTTACTGCCCCTCAGTGGTAGAAAGGGTTACGCCCTTGTCCTGGTTACTTAGTGCCACTCTAACAAATATACCACAAATGGGATGGCCTTAACAAACAGGAGTTTATTCTTTTACAGTTTGGAGGCTTTAAGGCCAAGTTCAAAGTGCCAGGCTCTAGGGGCTGGGTGAAAGCCCCTCAGCCTCAGGCTTCAGCTCTGCCTCCAGCTCCCAGCCCACTGAAGCTAGAGGTTTTTCTTCACTAAGACGGCTGCTGGCCACTGAGGCTGCCAAGCCCAAGGTTCACAAGTAAAAAGGCACAGTCCCAATATTACCAAACCACATAGCAGGCCATTAATCCAGGTCCATTTTAAGTCCTAAGGTTGGCAGAGCATGTCAGGCTGCTGAACAATGACACGGCTATATGCAAGGTCCAAGCGTGCCATAAATGAGACCATTCCCAAAGCTGCTGCTTATATATGGGAAGCAGACCACATACCCAAAGCAGCTACTCAGCTGCTCCAATAGATTCCATGGAGTTAATTACCAGTCTCACCATGGGGAATAACTACCACCAGCTGCCCACGCACTTAACCACACCCAGCCAAGTTGACACACAAACATAACCACCACAGCTGTCCACTGCTAGCTAAAAGGTTGGCAGTTTGAACCCACCCAGAGGTTCCTTGGAAGAAAGCCCTAGCAATCTGCTTCCAAAAGGTCACAGCCTTGAAAACCCTATGGAATAGTTCTATTCTGCACACATGGGGTAGCCGTGAGTCAGAATCAACACAACAGCAGCTAACAACAATAACAACAACTGACTGAAGAAGACCCAGCAGTTGATGTTGTTGTTGTTTGCCATCGAGTCGGATAGTCAGCTAGATTTGAAATAAACAAAGACATTGCACTAAAATGAGCTTTGGGCTCTTTTTAAAAATGGTCAGGCTATATGGTTGTAAAAGCTCTGGCCTACCTTCCAATTCTCCTCATTCATCTCTACCTTACAAAGAAAGAAAGAAAAGAAAAATACATAAAAAGCAGAAATGAAACACTAAAAAACCTCAAACCTAACTGAACCCATTGTCATTGAGTTGACTCAATAGTAACCCTGTAGGACAGAGTAGAACCGCCCTATAGGGTTTCCAAGGCTGTAAATCTTTATGGAAGCAGACTGCTACAGTATTCACCCACAGGGCAGCTGGTGGGTTCAAACTCCCTATCTTTGAGTCAACTGAGTGTTTAACCACTCAGCCAGTAGGGCTCCCTCAGGTTGAACAAACTAGATGTGATTTCTGTCCTTCTCTGCAAAGCTGTGCCAGTTCCACTAACCTTTTACCTCCTTTAGCTCCTGAACCTTTTGTTTCTTATAATTGTGCCCATTTCCTCTCGATGTCTCCTCTTCAGCACATAAAATAATGCTAAACATAGTAGGCACTCAGTAAATAGTGGATGAGAGGAGAGAAAATGGAGGGAGGAGAGATAAATGGACGTGTGGATAGCAAGAGCCATTATAGAGTGCTCCGCTTTTTTTTTTTTTTTTTGCACTCAAAACATATCAGTTATTTAATATTGGAAAAGGAGCCAGTTTTCCAAGGGTAAAAGTCTATAAATTTGCATTGGAGGCTAGGAGATGTCATTTTTGTAACTCTTAGAGTTAACACGCAGAACCCCAAGGGTCAACTTTATGTATTGATTTGCACCTAGTTTCTAGCAAGACTTTTTTCAAAACCTGCGATAAAGTATTGTAAATACTGCTACACATGGTAAGGCCACCTCCACCATGTTCTGCATGTGTGGGATTGACATGATGGAAATAGAATGTATAGAACAAATATTTTATGCTCTTTTAAATCCTAAAGGTTAGATATGACATACCATATAGTATTGTGATTTATTCTGTTTATAAGTTTATATTTAGTTTAATCATGAGAATGGAAGAAAAAGGAGCATGCCATGAAAAGAATAAACAATGTGTAGAACTGTTTATGTAACTTTCTGTAAGTTTCATATGAACCTTCAGGAACCTTCAGGAAGTTCCACATTCTAGCTGAGTCTTAAGTTTTCTTACTTACAAAATGAGAGTAGTAATCATACTTAACTTCCTAGATGGTTAATAGATACTCAATAAATACTAGTTGACTTTGATTCTAAGTCTGAATTAGCATTTAAAGTAAATCATGCTGCCTTGCCTAGGAAGCATTTTAGGTAAGAGGTAATTTCTTAAGCTGTGATTTAGAGAAAAAGAACAAAAAGTTATCTCAGAGACAGGGTGACAGCTCAAAACCTAGGGAAAGTAGACATGTAAACAGAGTAGTTTTCTTTCTTTTTTAATTGTTTTTTTTTTTTTTTTTTTCAGGTGAGCTGGCATTGGAAGAATTTAACTGAGCTGGATCAACTCTGGATGCTCAAATGTTTACGGTTTAACTGGTACATCAATTTCTCTCCCACTCCCTTTGAGCAAGGTGTATGGAAGAAGCACTATATTCAGATGGTGAAAGAACTTCATGTTACCAAGCCTAAGGTAAATAAGAAGCAAAAACAACATGCTTACAAAGAATAAACTATCAAAATTGAAGTTGGAATAGAGAGTTTAGTTCAAGGGAAATACACTATAACTTTGAATTTCTCTTCTTCTGAGAATTTGATAGCCCTTTTCAAGATATTCATGTCAGCTGAGAGCCCTCTTTCTGACATCCCCAAACCGTAGTTCTACCCAGGAGGTTAGAACTGTGGAGCATCCCTGTCTGTCCAGAGTCCTGTCTTTCTGTATGTAACTCTGGCTCAGACACCATGCAGTCTGACACTGGGACTCTAGGTAGTGTGCAGTATCTGTGAGGCATCAGATTTCACTTCAAAGTTTTCAAAATTCTCCCAGGTGACCTGAAGTTAATTTTTACACCAGTTATAAGGAAAAGTTTACCTAATAAGTTAGTAATTACATAAGATTGTAATGGATATTTATTTGTTCTTTTTAAGCTAGAAATTAAGCAATGTAAAGCATTTACATTATAATCATAAAATAATATTTTTTCTGGTGGCTTTCCATGCATTACAACCAATATTTATATTCATTTTTATAGTCACTGTTAATTAGATAACTTAGGGGAAATTTTTATGAACCTTTTCTCTACAACATGCAGAGTTCCAAAAACATGCAGAGTTTCACATTATTTTATACAATAGATGGGCTCCTGAAAAATTATATGTGAATTAAATATTTTAATGATTTTTAAAACCACGGGGGGATTCTATTCAATGAAAAAACTCTTCAGTGAGTCTTTTAAAACTGAAGAATTATTTTGTAACAAGAATAGTCAACTCCTAACTTGCTCATTTAGGTTTAACTTTTATTGTGTTTTCTTAAAGTAGAACTCATCTACATTTAATATAGTAGTAAATAATGCATAATTAATATTGTTACAATAGCATGATAAACTAGTCTTTCTGTTTTCAGGAATTGGTGTGCTTCTATATATTTTTTTAAAAAAAAAAAGAAAAAATTAAACTGCATTGATAGGTTATTTTTTAAATTACCGTAGCTCTGACTTCTTTTCCTAGAAAGCTTTTCCTTATCTCAGCTTCAGTGAGGGGAAGAGAGTAGCATTCAGTGGCTGAAACTCAGGCTATCAAAGGGCAAAGGAGAGAAAAGTGGTTAGCCAATTTTTAAGATGAAAAGAGGTTTTGAGTATTATATGCAAAGCTGACTTTAATACTTTGTCTTAAGCAACAGTTTTTCTCACTAAATATTTATGCATAAATATATTTAAAATAACTAATAGCTCTGGGATAAGAAAATTTCCACCTGTTTGGCATTTAAATTTTGTGAGGACTATTTTGCTATATTAAACTTAATTTATCTGTTAAAAAAATAAACCTAAGTCGGAAAGACTAAGGTTAATAAAGTCATGTAACCAAGGTTAATAAAATCAACTGTCAGCACTATGTGATTTATATAATTCCCTGTGAGGTTGCTCCAGTGTGAATGAAAGTAGGCAGCCACCATACCAAACCAAAACCAAAATCGCTGTCATCCAGTCAATTATAACTCATAATGAATCCCATTGGGTTTCCAAGGCTGTAAATGTTTACAGAAGCAGACTGCCCCATCTTTCTTCTGCAGAGTGACTGATGAGTTCAAACCACCGACGTTTCAGTTAGCAGCCAAATGCTTTAACAACTACATCACTAGAGCTTAGGCAGCCAGGATTGTTGTTGTTATGTGCCGTTGAGTCGGCCCCAACTCAAAGCAACCCCTCCTTGGGTTTTCAAGGCAGTATTACTACGGAAGTAGACAGTCAGGATAGTAGGCATAATTTACCTTCCCTCAAGCACCATCACCACCTTTTCCCAAAAAAACTTTGTACCTGGTATGTGCTCCAACAGAGCTTTCAAAATTATGTTATAAGCATGTTCAAACAGCAGTTTCCCTAGCACTAAAATGGGAGTATTGGACTAGAATGATCTGTATTACTGGCTATGAGAGTATACTTGGATACTTGGATCCACAATCAACATCCTTGGAAGCAGCGGTCAAGAAATCAGACGTATTGTACTGGGCAAATCTGCCATAAAAAACCTCTCTAATGTGCTGAAGAGTGAAGTCACTTTGAAGACTAAAATGTGCCTAACCCAAGCCATGGTATTTTCAATTGCTTCATATGCATGTGAAAGATGGACAACGTAGCTTATTCAATTTGTATGCTGAGCAAATAATCTGAGCAGCTGGACTATATGAAGAAGACTGAAGAAAAGTTGATGCCTTTGAATTGTGGTGTTGGTGAATATGGTTGAAAATACCATGGACTGCCATGAGTTGGAATTGATTCGATGGCAATGGGTTTGGTTTTGGAATATATAAGAAGAATACATAATGACCAAGTGGGATATTTTCCAGGAAAGTAAGGCTGGTATAATATTTAAAATTTAAGTGTGGTAGATATAGTTACATTTAAAAAAAAAAAAAAAGGAGTAGATGCTGAGGTTGCTTATGTACAACCTAAACCCTCATGGGATTTGGTTTCTTGGTCATGGTTTCATGGAAAAACCCAGTTAATTGGCCTAATAATGTGTTTAGTTCTTCTGTTCTACCTCCTAGTTCATTGCTTAGTGCCTGGGGTCTTAAAAGTTTGTAAGTGGCTATCCAAGTCACACAATTGGTCTCTATGCACCTGGAGTAACAGAGGAAGGAGGAAGGAGGAGAATACGGAATGTGTGGAAATAGGAGGATACAGAATGTGTGACTAATTGCCTCCATGAACAACTGCCTCCTTTGGCAAGAGACCAAAAGAGCTGAATCGTGCCTGGCTAGCATCACTGAACATTTCAAGCAAAGATTGTATAAGAAAAATCCTGTCTAAGGGGGAAAAATGTGGAACAGAATTTCAAATTCTCATGGACTCTAGACTTTTGGAGCCATGGGGCGAAATGAATCCCTGAAACTATTGCCCTGAGAAAATCTTTAACATTTAAACCAAAAATATCCCCTGAAGTCTTAAAACTAACTAATAAAAAAAGGTATGCCTTGAGCATTATGCTTTTTGAAGAACTATCTATATGAGATCAAATTGACAAGGGCAACTTGAAGGATTAGATAGGACCTTAGTGGTAATGTTATAGTAATGTTGTTGTTATTAGGTGCCTTCAAGTTGGCTCCAATTCATAGCAACCCTATGTACGACAGAACAAACACTGCCCAATCCTGCCCCAGCCTCACAATCCTTGAACCCATCATTGCATCCACTATGTCAGTCCATCTTGTTGAGGGTCTCCCACTTTTTCGACCTTCCACTTTACCAAGCATGATAACCTTCTCCAGAAAATGGCCCCTTCTGACAACATAACCAAAATAGGTGAGACCAAGTCTGGCCATTCTCGCTTCCAATGAGTATTCAGCTGCACTTCTTCCAGGACAGATTTGTTCATTCTACTGGCAGTCCATGGTATTTTCAGTATTCCTCGCCAATACCATAATTCAAAAGCATCAACTCTTCTTCAGTGTTTCTTATCCATTGTCCAGCTTTCACATGCATATGTGGCGATTGAAAATACCATGGCTTGGATTAGGCACACCTTAGTCTTCAAAGTGACATCTTTGCTCCTCAGTACTTGAAAGAGGTCTTTTGCAGCAGATTTGCCTAGTGCAATATGATGTCTAATTTCTTGACTGCTGCTTCCATGAGTGTTTACTGTGAATCCAAGTAATATGGAATCTTTTGACAACTTCAATCTTTTCTCCATTTATTGTGATGCTGCTTATTGGCAGGATTTTTGTTTTCTTTATGTTGAGTTGTAATCCATACTACAGACTGTAATTTTTAATCTTCTTCAGGAAGTGCTTCAAGTCATCTTCACTTTCAGCAGGCAAGGTTGTGCCCTCTGCATATCACACAGGTTGTTAATGAGTCTTCCTCCAATACTGATGACATGTTCTTCTTCATATAGTCCAGCTGTTCAGATTATTTGTTCAGCATACAGATTGAATAAGTATGGTGAAAAGATACAACCCTGACGCATTCCCTTCCTGGTATTAAACCATGCAGTATCCCCTTTTTCTGCTTGAACCACAGCCTTCTACTCTATGTACAGGTTCCTCAGGAGAACAGTTAAGTGCTCTGGAATTCCCATTCATCTCAATGTTATCCATAATTTGTTATGAACCACATAGTCAAATGCTTTTGCATAGTCAATAAAACAAGCAAACATCTTTCTGGTATTCTTTGCTTTCAGCCAAGATCCATCTGACATCAGCAATGATATCCCTCATTCCACATCTTCTGAATCCACCTTGCATTTCTGGAAGTTCCATATCAATATACTGCTGCAAATATATTTTAATTATCTTCAGCAAATTTTACTTGGGTGTGATATTAATGATAATGATAATGATTATGATAGTGATAGTGATATTAATGATATTGTTAGATGATTTCCACATTCTGCTGGCTCACCTTTCTTTGGAATGGGTACAAATATGGATCTCTTCCAGTCAGTTGACCAGGTAGTTTTCTTCCAAATTACTTGGCATAGACAAGTAATATCCTCCAACGTGGCTTCTGTTTGTTGAAACATCTCAATAGGTATTGTTTTTCACCAATTCCTTCAGTACAGCTTGGACTTCTTCCCTCAATGCCATTGGCTCCTGATCACATGGTACCTCCTGAAATAGTTGAACATCGACCAATTCTTTTTGGTACAGTGACTGTGTGTATTCCTTCCATCTTCTTTTGATGCTTCCTGCATCATTGAATATATTGCCCATAAAATCTTTCAATATTGCAACCTGAGGCTTGATTTCTTTTTTTTTTTTTTCTTCAGTTCTTTCAGCTTGAGAAATGCTGAACATCTTTTTCCCTCTCAGTTTTCTAACTCCAGGTCTTTGCACGTTTCATTATAATTCTTTGTCTTCTCAAGCTGCCATTTGAAGTCTTCTATTCAGTTCTTTCATTTCAACATTTCTTCCATTCACTTCAGCTACCCTCCATTCAAGAGCAACTTTCAGAATCTCCTCTGACATCCATTTTG